AGAAAAAAAGATGATTTCCTTTGCATTTGTATTCAGGGCTCATCCGTGGCATTCGCTGTGCTGCCTGACTTCAGACTGGCCGCCCTCCTGGCAGACACACATTAAGAGGGAACAATAAATTGCGACGCGGTTCTCCTGTACCTGGGCACAGGGCAAATTGAAATAACGTTGGAACAAAGCTTTATTTATGAATTTGGAATTGGATTATCGCGTCGTTGGCACAAACGGCGGCAGCGCTGCTTTTTTAAGACCTTCAAGAAATTTCCAGGGAGATGCAATCCCTCCCTCTGACGATCTCCAGACCGTCCCTAATTTCCTAAGCTCCCTGATAAGGTTTCTCCGCGCTCATGCTGACGCGAACATTCCTCATACATCAGATCACAATCTTGGAGCTGCAGCACGGCCCCGCAGGCTCCGTCCCCTGGTGGAGGGCAGCTCTGCCTGCAGCCCGTCGTGCAATCGCAGAACCCTCGGTGTTGGGAGGGACCTCTGAAGGCCATCCAGCCCAACTCCCCTGCGATTCACAGGGACACCGCAGCTCCACCAGGTCCTGATCCAGTCTCCAGGGATGGGAGATCCCCATCGATGGGAATCTGGTCAGGTTTTGTCCCTGGGCCATGAGAGCTCACCCAGCAGGGCGATGGAGTTTGAGAGCCACGGTGAGAGCTGAGCGCATAACGCCAGGGGTGGGAGCAGAGCCTGCATGGGGACCCCAGTGTCTGGACTGCAGGGAAGGCCCTGCTCAGCAGCTTCATCTCCATTGCTGCAGGCTGGTGTTGACAGCGGCCCGGGGAGGTGGCGGAGTCCCCGTCCATGGAGGTGTTCAGTGGCAGTGAGGACGTGGCAACAAGGGACGCGGTCAGCAGGCGCAATGGGGCGAGCTGGGGCTGGACTCGGGGGTCTTTTCCAACCTGAACCATTCTCTGATTCTGTGTTGGCTTTCCTTCAAAGCCAGGGACACTGCAAGCCGGGAAGTGGCTTGTAAGCCATGTGAAGTGGTCACCACAACCATTGATCACCATGCCCAGGAACTGATCACCATGCCCAGTAATTGATCACCATGCCCAGAAATTGATCACCATGCCCAGGAACTGATCACCATGCCCAGTAATTGATCACCATGCCCAGAAATTGATCACCATGCCCAGTAACTGATCACCATGCCCAGTAACTGATCACCATGCCCAGTAATTGATCACCATGCCCAGTAATTGATCACCATGCCCAGTAACTGATCACCATGCCCAGTAACTGATCACCATGCCCAGAAATTGATCACCATGCCCAGAAATTGATCACCATGCCCAGGAACTGATCACCATGCCCAGTAACTGATCACCATGCCCAGTAATTGATCACCATGCCCAGTAATTGATCACCATGCCCAGTGACTGATCACTATGCCCAGTAACTGATCACCATGCCCAGTAATTGATCACCATGCCCAGTGACTGATCACCATGCCCAGAAATTGATCACCATGCCCAGTGACTGATCACTATGCCCAGTAACTGATCACCATGCCCAGTAATTGATCACTATACCCAGTAATTGATCACCATGCCCAGTAACTGATCACCATGCCCAGTAATTGATCACTATACCCAGTAATTGATCACCATGCCCAGGAACTGATCACCATGCCCAGAAATTGATCACCATGCCCAGAAATTGATCACCATGCCCAGTAACTGATCACCCAGATGTGATGCCCAGAGGTCGCCATGTGAAGCAGCCCCTGTGCTGCCTTCCCCGTGGCACAGCTCAGCATCACATCCCAGCACGTTGGGCTGCAGGGAGCTCCCAGCCCGTGTCCTTGAACAAGCACAGAGCCTGCAGCCACAGCTGGGCTGAGCTGTGTGTAAATAATCCACCAAGCCTTCCTGCTGACTGCCTGTCTCCGCTGCCCTACTTAACTGCACCGTTGTGCTGAGGATGCACTGTGCCTCCTCCTGCAGGACCGAGCGCAGTGTGGACGGAGTGCAGCTGCAAATCAACCCCTACATCTGCTGGGTTTCCAAATCTCACACATCAGTGTCTCGAGAAAGGAGTCCGAGTCCATCTGAGGCCCGTGTACCACACTGAAGCAAACAGAAAACTGCCTGGAATGGGGCAATAGATGGTTTGCAGAACGGCAGATCTCTGCTCGGATGCTGTATGAAAGCTGCAGACCCTCGGAGATGTGACTGAGCTGAGTGGTTCTGAGCCTTCGGCTTTATTTTAGGTTTGGAATAATTGGACAGGGCTTAAGCTAAGGTCCTACACATAACATTGATTTCAATCAGTGCTCCAACACAGGAGGAAGGTGTGGGTTCTGCAGAAGGTCCACAGGCAGCAGCACAGGAGGTTCTGGGAGTTCCCACTGCTCTCCTTTCTCAGGTGACATCTGACAGGGCGTGAGAGAAGAGTTCAGGTGGTTCCAGGGGAGGTTCAGGGTGGATATCAGAACTCCTAAACGCAGAGGGGAGGCCAGGCACTGGAACGGGCTGCCCAGGGCTGCGATGGGCTCACCAACCCCAGAGATGTGTAAGAAATGGGCAGATGTGGCACTGAGGGACAGGGTCAGCGATGGGACTTGGTGGGTCAGGTGGCACTTGGTGATCTTGAAGGTTTTTCTGAGCTCCGTGAGTTTGTTTCAGTGATCCCAGGGGCCTTCCCAGGCCAGCTGCTGTAAGCAGCCTCTGCACCAGGCTGATGAAACAGCCCTGACTCTAAGGAGCATCACTGAGTGCTTTGACACACCAGGGCCATTTCCCTGCTCTGGGCCTAAGGGCCAGCACAGGAGTGGGGGCCAGGGCAGACAGGCAGCACGTCCTTGGGATAGAGGACATCCACAGGGCTGACACCAAACATAAGGGGCAGCTGCCCTGACGCTGCGTCCCTCTGCTGTGGGGGAACAGCAGCCCAAGGGACTGCATTAAAGATCACGTTATGACACACGAGGTGGGTGCCAGCAGCAGCTCAGCCCCCTGGGCCCCTGCTCAGGGCTCAGATGCAGCAATGGGTGGGAGGGGGATTCAGAGCACAGCACTGGGGCAGCACAGCACAGGCATTTGCTGCTCACCCCCAGTCCTCGCTGGTGCACCCTGAGCTTCCACATCTGCAAACGTTCTGCTCAGGTGTTTTCTGGCTGGCAACGAATCGCTGAACCACAGAACCACAGAACATCCCAAGTTGGAAGGGAACCACAGATATCATCGAGTCCAACCCCAGGCTCCACACAGAACCACCCCAAATCCAAACCCTACATCTGAGAACGTCCTTGCTCCAGTATAACATTCACTGAGCCTTCCTGATGATGCTGCAGAGCACAGAGCAGTCTTGGTGCCCCAGGGAGGGCAGGGACTGAGCAGTGCTCACCCCTCTGGCCCACACAATACCCCCAGCACTGGGGTCCAGAACATGCAAACACTGCTTCCCAAACACTGCTCACCTGTCAGGGTTGTTAACAACAGTTGGAAGGACTTTGGACTAGACGATCTTGTCGGTCCTTTCCAACCTAGCGATCCTATTCTATGAAAGGCCTAACGAGATGTTAACAGGAGGGATGTCAGGGAGATAACAGGCAAAATATTTAATGGACCACTGCTTTAAAGCACTTAAAGCCTTAACTTTGTGCTCGGCCAAGCACAATTTGCTGTCAGTATAATCTATGCTGATTGTCCCCGAATGCCTCCCCCTGCCTGCTTTGTTTGGGGACAGGGAGCACAGGAGGACACACGGCACACTCCTTCCCGGGACGGAACTGAGGCTGTGTTCCACAATCCTCTGCCTCCTCCTCCCTCCCCAGCAAAGGACTGGAGCTTTGCCCGCTATTGGGAACACCTCCAGCCACCACAGATTTCCATGGAGGACTCACAGAATGGTTTGGGTTGGAAGGGACCTCAAGGATGATAACAATCCAATGCCCCGCCACATCCAGGGCCACCAACCTCCCCATCTCACAGCAGCCCAGGCTGCCCAGGGCCCCATCCAACCCGGCCTTGAACACCTCCAGGGATGGACGGGGCATCACAGCCTCTCTGGGCAGCTGTTCCAGCCCCTCACCACTCTCTCTCTAAACAACTTCCCCCTGACATCCAACCTCCAGCTGCCCTCCCTCAACTTCCAACCATTTCCCCTTGTCCTGCTGTCATCTCCCCTTTCACAGAGCTGACTCCCCTCCTGGGCAGTCAGGAGCCCTGAAATCTCACCCAAAACCTGACCAGAGACCACAAGAATCCATTCTGTTGTGATGTGGGGAAAGGGGCACCACGGTGCTCAGACCTTAAGGCCCAGCCCTCACAGCGACGTGGCTGAGGACATCACCTGTGCCCCCTCCAGGGCTCAGCGTGGGGGGCTGAGCCCACGTGGGATGTCCCAAGGGCCAGCAGCACCGAAGCACGGCCCTGCATTGCACAGCGTAGGGCCGAAAGGGCAACAGGGCCGGAAATCCCAGCGGTTGCCCCTCTGCAGCCCTGCTCGCCCACGGGGCTGGAGGAGCATCACACGCGTGGCACAGGGAAGCAGCTGGCCGTGGGGCCCGGGACACCACCAGCCCGGGACACGCGTGGAACAGGACGGGCAGGGAGCAGAGCGCTGAGCGACACGCAGGTCGGGAAGGCAATGAGCTCGCATTAGCAGGGCTGGGCGCCCGGGGGGAGCAGCGCACGGATGAGGGGAGCGAGAGAGGAACGGCAGCAGAAATCGCGGTGGAGGAAAGGAGGGGCTGAGCCGGGGTCAGCAGTGAAACGGCGGGGGGGGGGGCGGCCAACGAGGGCAGGCGGGTGGGCGCCGGGAGCCCGAGCTGGGGGCACCCAGACCGCGGGCGGGGCTGCGGGGTCCCCTCCAACCCCGCCATCCCATGGCGGCCCGGACCCGGAGCCGCCCCACCCGTCCGACCGAAGCTGCAGCTCCCCGTCCGCCCCACCCCTCGCGGCCGCCTCACGCATGCGCACAACCCCAGTACAGGCCACGTCCCCACCCCCACAAGGCAACTTCCGGTTCTTTCCCCCGCCCTCTTCCGGTTACGTCCCTTCCGGTTCCGCCCCGGATAAGCGGCGCCGCGCACCACGCGCGCTCCTTTTCCGCCGCGCTCTCCAAGATGGCGGACACGCAGGTGGGGCCCGCGCGGCGCTGGGCCGTGGTGTCTGCAATCCGCCTGGCCTCACACGGGGGTTGGGGGGGCCGGCTGTGGGGCCGGAGAGGAGCCCCGGGGTGGGCGTCGTCCGTACGGATGGGGCACCGAGCGCTGGGGCGGCGGGGGGAGGCCGCGGTGAGGTCTCGGTGGGCCCGAGGCCGTCTGTGATGCCGTTTTTCCCCACCTCAGACCGAACGGGCGTACCAGAAGCAGCCCACGATCTTCCAGAACAAAAAGCGGGCCCTGCTGGGTGAGGGCGGCAAGGAGAAGTTGCCCCGCTACTATAAGAACATCGGCCTCGGCTTCAAGACACCCAAGGAGGTACGGCCGGCTGTGTGCTGAGCCCCGCAGCGCTGCGTTTCATGGGCTCGTAAAGTGGGGAGGCTTGAAAAGACCTCGGAGGTCACTCAGTTCCCATCCTCCAGGGTTGGACGTCTCCCATTGCTCAGGGCCTGTCGTTGGCTGCCTGGGTTCAGAGTCGCTCCCCCTCTTGCTTATAGGCTCCCTTTAAGGACTGGGAGGCCGCATGATGTCTCCCCAGAGCATTCCCTTCTCCGGGCTGAACACCCCCAGCTCCCTCAGCCTGTCTCCATACAGAGGTGCTCCGTTCTCTGAGCATCCCCGTGCCCTCCTCTGGACCCACAGCCCCACGTCCTTCCTGTGCTGGGGACCCCAGGCCTGGATGCAGTGCTCCACATGGGACCCTTCACGAGGGCAGACAGGGGCACAATCACCTCCCTGCCTGCTGCCCCCTCTGTTGGTGTTGCCTGCAGGACTGCTGGCCTTGTGGGCTGTGAATGCACACTGCTGCCTTGTGTCCATGCCATCCACCAGAACCCCTTAGCCCTTCTCCACAGAGCTGCTCTCGGTGACTTCTTCTCTCAGCCTGTACTTATGCCTGGGATTGCTCCAGCTGATGTGCAGTACTTTGCATTTGGCCTTGTTGCACCATATTAGCTTCATGTGGGCTCTTGTCCAGGTTCCTTTGGATCTCTTGTATCAGCTGCAGCGCTCACAAGTCCTCAGCACCATCACTGAGCCTCTGTCCAGAGCTGCCTGTCCAGACACTGACTGGCTCTGGGCAGCCTGGTCTGCTGGTTGGTGACCCTGCACAGAGCAGGGGGTTGGAACTGGGTGATCATCGTGGTCCTTTTCAACCCAGGCCGTTCTATGATCTGTGACCATTGTTTCTCTTGCAGGCCATTGAGGGCACCTACATTGACAAGAAGTGCCCCTTCACTGGTAATGTCTCCATCCGTGGCCGAATCCTGTCAGGTGAGTTGTGCAGCAGCACCGTAAGCACGTGATGCCACCGGAGCAGATCAGCACAGAGCCCAGAGCGTTGATCTGGAGCTGCCGGGAAGCACAGCTCAGGTCCTTGGGCTGCACATGATGTCATTCTCACGATGGTCTTCCAAGCCTCATGGTGAAGGGGCTGTGAGGACAAGGCCAAAAGGCTTTGCTGATGCCTGCTACAAGGAGCTGTCGGCGTTTCTCTGCAGCGCGGCTGCTGGCTCGGTGGTGCAGGCAGTGTTGGCTGTAGGAAGTTCCTGGAACGGAGGGGCCCTGCCTCCACGTGTGAAACACTGCACTGCTGGTCTGGGCTCTTAAAGCCTCCATTCTGCAGCGGTCACAAACGGGTTCCCAGCACGTTTTGCTGCCGGTCGCTGAATGCTTCCTCCCCTCCGCTCTCGCCCCCAGGTGTGGTCACCAAGATGAAGATGCAGCGCACCATCGTCATCCGCCGCGACTACCTGCACTACATCCGCAAGTACAACCGCTTTGAGAAGCGCCACAAGAACATGTCTGTGCACCTCTCCCCCTGCTTCAGGTGCGTCCAGCAGCCCCAGTGGCAGGAAGGAGCTGTGAGCTCCATGCACATCACTGCAGATGTAATCCGTGCCGTGCTCAGCCCAGGCTCTGCTGAAAGTGGGTGAGCGCGTCGGGCTGGGAGGGACGGTTCTGTTCCTGCTGCTGACCTGGAGCTTGTTTGCTGGTGGTGATGTCTGAACTCACGATGGTCTTCAGAGCCCCTGCTGGTGAAGGGGATGCTGACAACGCCGGTGGCGCCAGCTGAACCGTCAGACGTGTTCCAGTCGGTCAGCCTGACGTGGAGCCACAGTGTGACAGTTGTGTGGTTCTTGAGAAAGGGGGAAGCAAAAGAAAGTATGGACTGATGTTTCCAAAGCGAATGCTGAGGGCAGAGGGGCTCAGAGGCTGCCGTGTCCATCTGCACGTTTCTGAAGCAGCCCAAATAGCAGCCCAGCCGTGCTGGCTTAAGGAGTCCTTCAGGTCTGTAAGTGACTGGAAGGGAAACTCGTGATGGCTGAAGGGTTTCCCTTCGGGTGCTCAGCACTCATCCCGCTTCTGTGGGAGCCCCACTTCTCATTGGGTTGATGCCCAGAGCGACCGATGCTGGCAGCTCAGGGGCTGAGCGCTTCTGTTTCAGCACAGTCATCCCTGCAGCACTTCAGATGGCAGCTCCTTGTTCTGCAGCTCTGATGATGCAAGGTCACTTCTGCTGGGGTTGCACAGCAGCGTTTCCGACGTCATGCGCTGCACGCGTCCTTGCTGCAGAGCAGACAGCTGCAAACTCCCAGCCTCTGCTGTCGTTTCGTTGCAGGGATGTGCAGATTGGAGACATTGTCACCGTGGGGGAGTGCCGGCCCCTCAGCAAGACTGTCAGGTTCAACGTCCTCAAAGTCACGAAGGCTGCTGGCACCAAGAAGCAGTTCCAGAAGTTTTAAAAGCCAGCGTGTGGAGCACAATTGGGAAAAATAAAAGGAAAAATAAAAGTTTTCTAAAGTCTTCCTTACGTGTGTGGAGTGAAGTGAACAGCGCAGAAATGCATGAGTCGGTTCTTGAGGAAATGTGATGGCGTTAAGCAGGCTCTGTTCTGGTTTCCTGCTCAGGAGAAGTGAAGGTTTGGTGTGGGTGAGGGTCGGGGGATGAGTGCTGTCCCTCTGGCAGTGCAGAGGCAGTTCAAATAGGAATTGAATGAGAAAGGTCCGTGTGGTTCCACACGCAGCTCTGAGCACGTTTTGCAGGGCTGTAGTGTCAGCAGCGGAAGCAAATGAGAATTAATGCTCAAGGAAATGCTTTTGCTGTGGGTTTGCGTGGAGGTTGGCAGTTGCTTCCAGTTGGAGGAGGTGAGCTGAGCAGTGAATGAGCCCCTCTGCAGGATGAGTTCAGAGCAGTGCTCAATGGCTCTGCTGGGGGGAGGCGGGGATCAGTGACGTCCCATGGGGCACCGTTGCTCTTCAGCATCACCAGTGACATCAGTGGTGGCTCCTGTGCATCCTCAGCAAGTTGGGTGATGGCACCAAGCTGAGGGGTGAGGTTGGAAGGAAGGGATGGGAAGGAAGGGTCCCTGCCAGAGGGACCTCAGTCAAGGCTAAAAGTGGGCCTGTGTGAACCTGATGAGATTCGACCCAGCAAACTGGGAGAAGAACTGCTTGAGAGCAGCCCTGCAGAGCAGGACCTGGGGGTCCTGGTGGGTGAAAAACAACATGAGGCAGCAGTGTGTGATTACAGCTCAGAAAGCAAATGGGATCCTGGGCTCCAGCAGCAGGGGGTGGCAGCAGTGACAGGGAGGTGATCGTCCCCCTCTGCTCTGCCCTCATGAGGCCCCATCTGCAGCACTGCGTCCAGGGCTGGAGCCCCCAGCACAAGAAAGACAGGGAGCTGTTGGAGAGGATCCAGAGGAGCCACAAAGATGAGCAGAGGGCTGCAGCACCTCCCTACAAAGACAGGCTGAGGGAGCTGGGCTTGTTCAGCATGGAGAAGAGAAGCTGCGGGGTGACCTCAGTGCACTACTTGAAAGAGGGTTATGAACAAGAGGGGAGTCAACTTTTTACAAGATATTGGCAGGACAAGGGGGAAGTTGTTGACAGAGCAGTGAGGTGCTGGAGCACAGAGGAGCAGGCTGCAGGAGGTTGTGGCTGCTCTGCCCCTGGAGGTGCTCAAGGCCAGGTTGGATGGGGCTCTGGGCAGCCTGGTCCAGCACCAGATGTGGAGGTTGGGGGCCCTGTGTGTGGCAGGGGGTTGGAAGGTGATGATCCTTGGGGTCCCTTCTAACCCAGGTCATTCTATGATCCTGTGCTCTGTGAAGGTGCCTTTGGATTGAGCCATTTCCCTCCAGCTGGCAGGAATTCCGAGCGTGTGGGAAGTGAGGAAAGCAGATGCAGAGGGGCAGCTGAGTCGCCTGAGCCCACAGGCACCTGGTGGGGGCCCTCTGTGAGCTCCACAGCACGGTGAGTGGCCGAGCACCCGGAGCAGAAGGGAAGCTGGAGCACAGCCTCAGCTGCCTCAGCTGCCCTTCCGCCCCCCGCGCTGTGCTGGAAGCACCACTGCTGTGTGTGTGGTGTGCGGTGCTGCACCGAGGTGCCGTGGCACTGGGGGCTTTATGCCTTCTGGGGGTGCCTGGGGATGTTCTGCCCGCCGTGGCCACTCATAGAATCATAGAATCACCAAGGTTGGAAAAGACCTCAAAGCTCATCCAGTCCAACTGTTCACCTATTCCCAATAGCTCCCATTGAACCACGTCCCTCAACACAACATCCAGCCTTTCCTTGAACACCCCCAGGCTCGGTGACTCCACCACCTCCCTGGGCATCCATTGCAGTGCCTGACCACCCTTTCTGAAAAGTAATTCTTCCTCATGTCCAGCCTGAATCTCCCTGCCATGGCTTGAAGCCATTCCCTCTGCTCCTATCACTGATGACACGAGAGCAGAGGCCGACCCCCAGCTCACTACAGCCTCCCTTCAGGAAGTTACAGAGAGCAGTGAGGTCTCCCCTGAGCTCCTCTTCTCCAGGCTGAACATTCCCAGCTCCTTCAGCCTCTCCTCATCAGCCCTGTGTTCCAGACCCCTCACCAGCTTTGTTGCCCTCCTTTGAACACGTTCCAGGGCCTCAATATCTTTCTTGCAGTGAGGGGTCCAAAACTGGACACAGCACTCGAGGTGCGGCCTCACCAGTGCTGAATACAGGGGAACAATCACCTCTCTGCTCCTGCTGGCAGCACTGTTTCTGATGCAAGCCAGGATGCCATTGGCCTTCTTGGCCACCTGGGCACACTGTGGGCTCATGTTCAGCCGAGCATCAATCAATACCCCCAGGTCCATTTCCTCTACACCGTCCCCCAGCCACACCGCCCCAAGCCTGCAGCGTCGCCTGGGGTTGTTGTGGCCGAAGTGCAGGACCCGGCATTTGGCCTTGTTGAAACTCATCCCATTGGCTTCAGCCCAGCTCTCCAGCCTGAGAAGGAGGTGAGGAGGCCCTGCTGCTCGGGGATGCCATCGAACCACAGAATCACTGAAGACCCCCCCTGAGGTCACACAGTGCAACCGTCCACCTACAACCAATATTTTCCCACTAAACCGCATCCCTTTGTACCACATCCACACAATTCTTTAACGCCTCCAGGGATGGTGACTCCCCCACCTCCCGGGGCAGCCCATTCCAGTACCTGAACACTCTGGGAAGGAATTCTTCCTAATACCCAACCTGACCCAGCCTTGGTGCGATTTGAGTCCATTCCGCCTCGTTCTTTTGCTGTTATCTGGGGGCAGAGGCTCCTCTCAGCACTCCTTTCAGGCAGTTGTACAGAGCCATAAAGTCCCCCATCAGCCTCTTCTTCTCCAAGCTGAACGGCCCCAATGGCACCCACTGCTCCCTGCCCAGCACCTGGTCCCCCAAACCTGTGATCCCTCCGGGACCCCGAATGCCTTGGGCTCTGTGCCACGCATCAATCAGAGGGCAGGCAGTGGAGCTGCTGCCCTGCACTGTTAGCCAGCGCCGTTGCTGAACCGCTCAGCTGTGTTTCCTGTCCCAGCCCACAGCGGCAGGAAGCACAGGCTTCTGTTAGCCATAGATGGCCATTGGCAGCGCAGAAATGAAGCTGCCAGCTGCGTGGGGCTGAAAATACGCCAGTGAGTCTTGAGGTGGAGCTTGGCCAGCCAACAGCAAGTGTGCACCATCCCCAGCCCAGCAATGCAGCCCAGCAGTGCACAGAGCTCGGAGCACAGCTGTGACAGTCTGGGTACGCCCCAATCCCACAGCTGTGGGCTGGCTGACCCCCTGCTGGGGGGGACGTGGGGATGGAGGCTCTGCATCCACGGGCAGTGCTTGCAGTGCAAGAGCTGCTCCTCCCTTACAGCCCTGCGTGCTGCCTTTGTTGGCACCAAGCATCGGGCATCAGCTTGGTGCCATGCAGCCCTAAGGACCCCACGGCTCCCCAGTGGCTGAGGTCAGGGTCTCCACCCTCCCAGCCTTCCTCCACATCCCTAATGCAGCCCCAGGCCTCAGAAAATGTCCCTGAAGCCATTGGGACGGGACGCTGTGGCATGGAGATGCTGTGGCACAGGACACCTGGGTGAGCATCACATTGTGATCCCACTGCTTGGGGTACAGAGCCCCACTGCGTGCAGCTCGGCTGTGGGGCTGCAGCGAGGTGAGCTCTGGGCAGTGCTGGGAACCTGGCCCCACACGGGCAGGACATGAGTCAGGGCTGGGCAGGAAGGAAGGCAAGAGGAGACCTGATCTGCACCATTCCCTGCACCCCAATGGCCTCCCAGGGAGGGATGAGTCCTGCTGCTGCCTCCCATGGGTCCCTGCTGGTCCCTGCTGGTCCCCTCCAGCTCACAGTGCCCTGCACGCAGCTCAGCTGTGCTCCAGGGGTTTGTCCCCCCTGAGGAACTGACGCATCATCCCACTCCGCTCCCCAGTCCCTTACTGCAGAGGGGTGGCTGGGACGGATGCGCTGTGCCACACGGGACAGATATTCTGCGTCCTTTCCTCTGTGATCCATCAGAGCTCCTCCTGCCTGGAGGACCCACGCATGCAATGCAGTGCCAGCAGCTCTTCCATGCTCACGTGTGTGCGTGTGGGCACCCGGTTCACTCGGGCATCTCAGCAGAGATTTGTGCCCAGGCCCCCCCTGCACCCTGCCCACCCCCAGCATCGCCCACCTGCAGGGAAAGCGGAGCACAGCAGGAGCTGCCAGGGCTGTTCCATCTCCACGGGGTTTGGGTGTCAATCTGTGCATCTCTGCTGGTGGAATTGGTTTTCAGGACAGAAAAATGAGAAGTGCTGCTTGGGCCTAAATTTGGATCCCCACCACCCCCAGGAGCTGCAGTGCTGTGTGGGGGGAATTGAGCTGCTTGGAGGCTCCTGCAGCTCCGCAGGGTGAGGGGAGCCCTGGGCTGTGTCTCTGCTCCCAGCTTCCAGACTCCTGACCCCAGCCATGAGCACGGCCTGCAGAACATTCCTGGCTCTGCTCCCCATCTCTGCTCAAACATCACCCCAGCACCTGCGTATCCCAGTGCCACAGAGAACCCAGAACCTTTGGCTCTGCTTTGCTGTCAGGGTGCACCACTGTGCCAGCAGTCTGGTGATGATGGTGCCCTGCGAGCTGCTAATGACCCCACAGCAGCGATGTTACCCTGCAGAAGGATTTCTACAGCTGTGTGCATCTTTGGTTTCTTTAATTATCCACTGCATGGATAATGAACACCTACCTGTAGGAAGAGGCTCTGGTGAACGTTGGGTTGATGGATGTGAGCACTGGGATGTGCTGCTCACTGACTGACACAGGTGCCACATTGAACCGTGTTCCACCAGGAAATTACTGCAGCATATTTCGGTGTAAAGAACCAGAGATGGGATGGATCTCGAGGAAAGAGCTGCCAGCAGCAGCAGGGCACTCCTCCCAAGGCACAGCCACGTTGGCCCTCCTATTTGTGCATCTGGAATGTCAAGCTGGAGAGTGAGAATGCAGGAGGGGATGCCAACGTGGACAGGGCGAATGCT